GAAGTTGAGATGACCAAGTCTATAATGCCATAGCCATTCATCTCTGCTAGTTGCAGTCGAAAGGCACTTGTGTTCCATCACGTTTAGTTCAATCTTGAAGGTTCGATTCTGAGACATAGGAGCCTTCAAGATTACTCTCCCATTTGCATCAACGACACTCATCAACTTATCTTCGATTGACACTTTATAATTCTTTTCGACCAACTGCCCTATACTGAGCAAATTGCTCTTCATGCCTGGTATGTACAATACATTCGAAATTACTGACTTCTTGCCATCTTTCCTCATGATCATAACATCACCAATACCTTCAGCTGCTAGTGTGTTGTCATTTGCAAATTTTACCATATTCTTCGTTGAGGGTTTTATATTGACGAACCAGTCTTTCCTTCCAGACATATGTGATGAACATCCTGAATCCAAGTACCATTGGTCCTTGAATCTATCTTTATCTTTTGTTGTGACCATCAACATCATCTCTTCTTCTTCTTCATGTTTTGCAAGCTTTGCATCACTTTCTTGATTTTTTCGTTTTTCTGGACAATCACTCGAATAGTGACCATACTTCTGACAATTGTAACATTGAATGTGACTCTTATCAGGTTTTCGACCGCCACCTCTTCCTCTGTTTGCAGCACCACCTCTTTGGTTGCCTTGGTGTGGTTTTCTTTGATTCGACATGTCTCCTTCGATTTGGTTTCCTCTACCATTCAATTTGTTGTAGCCACCTCTACTTCTGTCGAAAGACTTTCCTTTGCCTTTGGTCTCTTTTGCTGAATATGCCTGCAAGGCCACATCACTCTTCGATTTTCCTGCAGCTCTTTCGTTCATTCTTTGTTCATGAGATTCGAGCGTCCCTTAAAGCTATTCCTTTGTCAATTTCGACAAGTCTTTCCCTTCTTCGATCGCCACCACTATGTGGTCGAACTTAGGAGATAAGGATCTCAGGATCTTCGAAACAACAACTCTTATTGTTAATGTTTCTCCACATGTCTTGATTTGGTTCACTAGTTTTGTAACTCTAGTGAATAAATCAGATATGTTTTCACTGTCTTCCATCTGAAGCAGTTCATAGGTTCTTTTGTGAGTTTGTAACCTCACTTCTTTTACCTTCTCAGCGCCTCCAAAAGACTTCTCAAGGATCTCCCAAACTTCTTTTGCAGATTCTGAATCACCAATCTTCTCGAAATTGTCTGGACTGACACATTGATGAATTATAAACAATGCTTTATAACTCTGTTTCTCAGATTCTGTATATTTCTTCTTTTCTTCTTCTGAAGCGTTTTCGCCAAGCGCTTCGACTCCATCTTTTACAAGGTCCCAAAGACCTTGACACCTTAATAGGACTTTCATCTGCTTGCACCAATTCTCATAGTTGTCTACTTTCAGAATTGGCAGCGTTGCTGGATAGTTTGCATTCCCATAACTTGTCATCGTGAATTCTTCAATCGTTCTTGATTGATGCTTCCCTTGAATCGTAACACAAGCTCTTGATACCAGATGTTGGAAATCCACCAATACTTTATGATGAATTTCGACCACCACTGATGATTAGTTATGACAAACAAATAAAAAGAACAATTGAGATATTTCTGCAAAATTTCTATTCTGCCCACAAACTATGGAATCTTTATTAATTCACTTTGTAACTGCAAAATACTGTGAATGACTTGATTACAAAAATAGGGGTTACTCCCTCTATTTATAGATTTAGGTTAGCTTGCTCCCTAAGTTAAACCCAAGCCCAAAATATCTCTTTACTAAATCAAATCTAATCTAGATTTAAATTCAAATCTATTTAAATCTAAACAAATCAAATCTTCTTTTGACACATATGAATTACAATTTAACAAAGAGCACCTTTATGAATAACATATTTCAAAATCAACTGTGAACAAAAAACAAACACTTGGTAATCTATATTCCACCCTTTTATGTCCACATCTTAAAATAAGATAGAAACTTAGACATTAACCCTCACATCTTAAAATAAGATAGAAACTCACAAATTCATTTATAGGACCGAATATTTTGTCAACTTTCCCAATCTGAGTTATGTTTTGGCGGAAGACATCTGGTTCTTGTTCAGAACCACCAGTCTTCTTCTCAATCTCCAAACGTCGACCACAACACAAAAATGAAACATCTAAACAGTGAAGAAAAAAACCTTAAATTTCAAAATACAAGAGTTAGATCAGTGGAAGAAACAAACCAGTCATGCATGTTTGACATGAAAACTCAAAAAATTAAGAAAGAAATAAAAGCATGATGAAAAAGCAAAAAAACTCAAAAATATGGTTTAATTTGGAAGTATCAAAAACGAGTACCTTTGATTCAGAAGTTCTTTGCAAGAATTTCAAATTAGACGAAACTGGACGATAATGAAACAAAATCGATTGATGAAAAATAAAAGAGGAATAGAAAATAAAGAAGAAGATATTTATATAATTAGCTTCCTAAAGATTGTCATAGAAAATAATAAAATTGAAAACAATCAATTGGAAACTGAAAGCACGCTACTTCTGATATTTCGATTTGTATAGTCACAATAAATTTTATCAGGTAAAAAGTTAAAACGGTAGTAAGTTAATAATTAAAAAAGTAGATGAATTCTACATTCACAATCAAACGACTTTTAAAAACATCATCATAAATCAAAATGTGTACTTTGTGAAAGATTTAATGTGTAAGATTAAATAAGGAAATGCTCTTATTGCATAATTAAAAGGAATCTTCTATGTTCTTTCAAATAATTAGAGAAATGTAACTTAATAGAGCTAGTGAAATATATTTATTCATACCATCAATATAATTAAAAATTATTATATTTTCATACACCCTCCGATCACTATTATAACATTTTTTTAAAATTAATATATATATATATATATATATATATATATATATATATATATATATATATATATATATATATATATATATATATATATATATATATATATATATATATATATATATATATATTCAATGAATCTAAATTATTTTATTACTTATAATAGTAATAAAAAGTATATTTGATATCCAACTTGTTAGAAAAATCAAATTTGTGGTGAAACAAATATACATTAATGTTCTTTACATTAAAGGGCAACTAAGTGGATATTGTTTTATCCATCTTAGATATTATACATCCCAATATTAAGTTATTTATTGACAAAATTTATAGGAAGTGAGGTCTTCTAGAATACATCTTATAGGGTGTTTGTTTGATGAATTCATATCACATTTTTAGAAATGTAAAGATAAAAATCACACATTCCCATGTTGTTTCAGATTCTAATAAATTACACAGTTTTTTTATTCATAAGAATATAATTTACATATGGAGTTTTTAATCTTTATTTCAATATTTTTTTGTCAAAAATATGTATTCCAATATTAAAAGGTAAAAATCTTACTTTCCCATAAAAGTAAAAACTAACCAACTATAATACCAAATTCTATAATATTTTAACACACTTATTTTTTTGTTTTCAAAATATTAACATTATAATAAAATAAAATTTAAAAATATTCTTAAAAATCTTAATAATTTACCAAATATTGAAATGATATTCATAAAATTGTAATTTTATTTCATCAAATATGGTTACTCTTTATTTTTTCCTTTCTCTCTTAGGATCTGTTTGGTTTAGACTTTTGAAAGGAAAGGGAAGGGAGAAAATATGAGGAACTATTTTAAGTTGAGTATTTTTGATTTAATTTTTTATGAGGGGATGAGATTGAAAGTGATTAGATTTCTTCATGGAGTAGTTTTTTCGTTTTCTCAAAATCAAAGAAATTTGGAGGGAAAGAGAGAGAGGATTTATGATAAAATTTATTTTTGTTATATTGACAAAATCATCGTCATTTCTTTTATTAAAATCCTAAATTATTCTTAATAAATATTATATGTTAATTTTTGTCCTCTTATTAAAATGTCTCTAATTTTTTTATGACCACTCTATTATTTTTATTAATATGTTGACTCAATTATTTTTATTTTTTCACGTGTTTTATTTTTATTCATTTTAATTTATTATTTTGTTTGTAAGAATATAATTGTTTTAAAAATTGTTGTAATATATTACATATCTATATATAATTGTATAATATGAGCTATATATATTATCTATAATTTAATTTTATAAATATTTAAAGGATTACATAAATGATCAATATGATAAAATGATTCATATGATAATGAATCATAATATTATTATATGAAATTTATTAATATTTTATTAATATTTTAATATATTTTAAAATATTGAATATTTTGTGCTTGATTATTTATGTTGTTTATGAATTGATAATTTTTTTTTATGAATATCACTTTATTTTAATTTTATTTAGCATGAGTGTTATAATATCTTAAGAGTTAAAATATAAATTAGTTTTAAAATTTCTCCCTCTCCTTTATGAACTAAACATATTTTTTAAAGTTTAAAGATAATAAACAAACATTATAAATTAATATTACAGACACAACCAATTAAATTTTTTATAATTATCATAATGTATCAGTATTTTAAAATTAAAATTATATTTTAATTAGATACACGTCTCTCATTAATTAATAATGTAAAAACATATTTATTTTTCTTTATTTATTATTAAAATTTTTCCCTCCCTTTCTCTTTTCTTCTTTTGAATCAAAAATTCATTTAATTAAAATAGCTTCTCTCAGCTCCTTTCCTTCCTTTATTAAAATCCCTTTTCTTCCATCCCCTGGTTGAACCAAACAACCTTAGTATAAAAAAATAAAATCAAAACTTGGTATTCACTCTACTACTAGTTCTTGCAGCTGCGCACGTGGCAAGATCGTAAATACAAACAATTGAGATGTAGTTTTCTGTACTCTCACTCACTCCTATGAAAATGAAAACTACAAAACCTCTTTTTCCCGCTCACTGCTTCTTCTTCCCCCGATTTTCTCTCCATGCTCCTATCTCAAACTTTTTCCTAGGGTTTAACACTCCCACCACCCCAAAATCACCATGCCAGATTTGGGGAACCGTCCTCTCCCGCTCGTGCCCTGCTCCCCCGTCAAGGCCGTCGACGATTCAGCTGCGCTCGAAGCACTACCCAGTGATTTTGGTTCCGATAATGGCGTTCATGCTCGGGTTTTGAAGAGGACTCGCGGTTCTCTCCGGAAGACTGGCAATGCTAAGAGTTTGTGGGATCGCCTTACGGATCCTCAATCTCTCCCGTTTCTCGTCGCTGCTCCAAAGATGGTAGATCGTTTTTTCTTCCAATTTACCGTTTCATATTGTTTCTCTCTCTACTGAATAGTGCTTAATTGATGAAACATCATAAATCAGCATTGCCTTTTTTTTTAAAAATTCTACTTTGATCATTGAGCTCTGACCTTACTTCATTATATCGTCATGCTTGTTGGATGTAATTTGTGGGAACTGTTCAGGTTGAATGCTGTTTCTGCCACCATTCTGTGTGTCCCGGGGAGGAGCTGATATGTTCTGTTCATGGATGTGGCTCATGCTATCATAAGGAATGTGCAAAACAAGTCAGTGGGGTTTCAAATCTGAAAAAGAACAAGTTCAAGTGTCCACAACATGTAAATTTTTTTAGTGGATCCAGCATTGCTACGATTTTTTACCAAAAAAATGATTCATGTCTTTTTCATTAATATATTCTGATTCGATATCAGATTTAGGGCTGTGAATCATGTTATATAGATATACATTTACATATATTATCTAAGTTTTTAGCTGCATTCAATGGCCAGCTAGTGTAATCATAGCCATGCTTTACTTTGTCAACATTGAGGTTGTGGGTTTGAATCATGAACTTAGCTTCTTGTAAATGCGAGTCAAGTCAGTTTACCTTTTTGTGGAACCTGTCACGGTAAAATCTTTATTTCTCTTCTAGTTTGATCTCAAATCTGCTCTAATTATTCATTTATAAATTTTGGAGAATATTTTGTTAGATTCTTAACAAATTGATAATGCTAGTTATATTTGTCTACCTTTTTCTGGATCCTGTCATGGTAGTATCTTTCTCTTTTAATTTGATCTCAAGTCTGCTCTAACTATTCATTTTTAATTTTTAGAGAATATTTTGTTACATTCTTTTGACAAAATAAGAATTATCTCACCTACTTATATATTATGTATTAGCTAACTACAATTTTTTTGTGACCATGTGTATATTTTTTAGGGGTTTAGTAGATCCAATTGTTTAAAGCTATGTATCTCCTAATTGACGTGCTTTTCCACATTGGTGCAGAACCCTATGTTGGATATGGTATTTTTCCTTTATTTGGCCTGCCTTGTTTTTCCGCTGAATATTAAGTCATTAAATATGCAGGTGTGCTTCATTTGCAAGCAAAAGATGCATTTGCGGTGTGTGCGTTGCACGACGGCTTTCCATAGTAAATGTGCACCATGGCCTGAAGCTGTGATCCCTCTGAAAGATCATCCTGGACAAGCTGTTTGTTGGAGACATCCTTCTGATTGGCGCCTGGATAGAAAGGTCAAATTTCTATTTTCACCAGAACTATTACAGTAATTGTTTATTTATTGATTATATTGTTAATTACAATACATGGTTCCATTAGATTCCTTGTCATATTCAAATGCAATTTCTTTGTAATGTGTAAATTCTTGTTTCCATTCTTACCTTTCTGCGTCTTTCTTTTCAGAAGCAGTCACATTGAATTGGAAAATATGCAATTTTCCAGTTCAATATCACTAGATGGTTTCCAAGTGTTTCAATTTTATTCATTACACTGATGGCTATTGTGGTGATGTGTGCCTATTCAAGGTTACACTGATTGCTATTCAAGTGTTTTTGTTTGGTTTCTTTCTCATGCATTTTTTTAAAACTTTTCTATCCCAATAGTTATTGAGGGAGGACACATCAGGGAAGAAAGGGGTACTTGACACTTGTTTATTACTGACATGTATTGCTTATGGAAATCTTTAATTGGCCGAATATTACTTTTCTTATCTATATCCTCTGCATTATGTCAAAGATATTATATTGGACTTTTATTAAGTTTTTGGCTAGGTTTTTGGGTCTCAACACAATTGAGATTCCTTTTCCTGTTGTGCTCTTTTATTAGAAAGAAGAGAAGAGAATAATAGTGTATTCATTTCTTTGTAACTGAATACTGTTATTTCTCAAAAGTTACTCACAAAAGGTTCCTTGATGCTTTATATATAGCATCAAGGGTAACCTGCTATTACAGGTTAAACAGAATTGGTACTTACAGAATTGAATGCATGGCTTCTGCAATAATGTCTGAATCCAAAGAAGATTAGTTGTAGCTTGAGCTAAACTTCTGTATTTAGATTCAGTGCTGGACCTAGCAATAACTGGTTGTTTCTTTGACCACCAAACAATCAAATTAGCTCCAAAGAAAATAGCAGCACCAGATGTACTTCTTCTGTTATCTGGATCTGAAGCTCAATCAGCATCACATTAGACATGAAGAGAGGGAGAAGCCTGAGGGGAAAGAGGAGTGAGAGATAAACCATGATGAAGGGTACCTTTCAAGTACCTGAGAATCCTCTTGACAGCCAATGAGAATCAAGAGGATGTGACATAAACTAACACACTTTGTTAACAACATAGGTTAAATCAGGTCTGGTGATAGTGGCATACTGCAAGGCACCAACCACAGACCTATACATATAGGGATCATAAAAGGTTGCAAACCCAATTTTGGTAAGTTTGCAAAGTTTGCAGGTGGATTGCATGGGTGTGCTGTCAAAACAGGCTTCCAACATGTTAGTTTTCTGCAGTAAATCTCTAAGATACTTAGTTTGAGTGAGAAGTATAGAACCATTAACTGACTGCTTAACCTCAATACTCAGAAAATAGTCAAGTTTTTTCTGTAAGGCTTCAAATTCATCTTGCATAGCTGCCTTCCAATGCAAATCAGGAAGAGCCTGTTTAATAGATTTAGGCCCAAAGTGAGTAATAAGCACCCTAGGATCCAGTCTAGGTTGATTGAATCCAGATTTGGCCCTAGTTTTCATAGGATGAGAGTTCTGAGGGATAATAACCACAAGAATATCATTAGGAAGGACATGTGACTCAGGTTTAGTGACTGAAGATGAGCTGGATGAAGAGTCAGCCTGACTAGAGGAAGTCCCTGAGGAGTTGCTGGCAGCAGCAGATGAAGAATCACTAGTAGGTGATGAACTTACAGGGACAGAAGATGCAGGGGTGGGAGCATTAACTGGTGAGGGAGCAGGAGAGGCAGGTGTGAGATCATTTGAGGGACTAGAGATATGAGGCTGTGTAGTGGTGATATGTGGAGTAAGAGAACTCAACAGAAGGCTAGAGTAATGAGGTGCCAAGGATGTACTGTGGCTGAGAGCAGAATTAGGTCTGGATGGAGAAAATAAATCTAGATATGAAAATCTAGACTCATTAAATAGAACATCCTTTGAGATGTATAACCCGCCATTAGGGGCTAGACACCTATAGCCTTTATCAGATGTGGAATATCCAAGAAAGAGACATTCTTGAGATCTGAAGTTAAGTTTCTGAGAGAGATAAGGTCTTAAGAGAGGAAAACAAGCATAACCAAAAACCTTTAGAAACTTGTAATCAGGCTGCTGATGAAATAGAAAAGTGTAGGGAACCTCAAAATTAATAGAGGCAGATGGCAGCCTGTTAATAAGGTATACATCAATAGAAAAGGCGTAGTCCCAGTAGGTTAGAGGAAGGGAAGCCTGACTGAGCAAGGTAAGCCCCAAATCCACTATGTGCCTGTGCTTTCTTTCAATGACACCATTCTGGTGGTGGGACAAATAAGGCGATGGATAATACCCAAATCAGTGAGATATTTTATAAATGGTCTGAACTCATGTTTTGTAAATCCCCCCCCCCCCCCCCCCCCCCCCCCAGTCAGACTGAACAACTTTAATAGATAACTCATGTTGTAGTTCAACCATTGCCTTAAACTTTTGAAATACATAACTAGCTTCAGATTTGGCTTTAAGAAGATAGGTCCAAGTAAACTTGGAGTAAGCATTCACAAAAGACATAGAATACAGAAAACCAAAGGCAAAAGCCTTGGGCGAGGGCCCCCATAGGTTAGTATAAACAAGTTCAAGGGGTTTTGTGTAAACTGTGTGTGAAGTGGGAGTATGTAATCTGTGGGATTTACCCATACAACATGCAGAACAGAACATATCACAAGTTTTATTGCTGAAATGAACATTACAATGTTGCAAACACAAGTTTTTAAGCATGATTGTTAGGGTGTCCTAACCTAAGATGCCACATGTAAGGCAAACTAGTAGAAAGAGAAATAGTATTGGTACTAGGTGCAATATTATTGGAAGAAAAACTAGTAGAATGCAACAAAGACTTAGTAGATTGTGACACATTAATGGAAAGAAACTCATAAAGTCCATCAGCTCCTACATGACCTTCAAGAAGAATGGCATCAGACACCTGACATTTAACAAGACACTTGTCAGCTGAGAATACGAAATACACATGGTTATCCTTAGAAAACTGACTGACACTAAGCAGATTTTTAGTGATAGCAGGAACATGTAGTAAGTTTTTGAGAATGAGGTGTGTGGTAGGGTGAAAAGGTGAAGGAAAGGAGCTGGAACCAGCAGATTGATTGACCAAACCTTGTCCATTACCAATGTAAATCTGGTCATGGCCTTCAAAGGGAGTCACTTGTTGCAAGTTCTTTGCATCACTGGTGACATGATATGAAGCTCCAGAAACAGGAAACCAGGAACCTGATGTAGATGGTAAAGCATTTTCCACAAAGGTACTTGGAGGTTATGTGATGTTAGGAGGATAAGGAGACACAGCAGGTGGCTTGGACCACACATAAGGAGAGGCACGAGCACCCTGTCACTGAGGTTGCACATAGCTTGCACCAGTAGGCTGGAATTGATAGTTAAACATGTGCCAACACTGTATTGCAGAATGGCCAGGTTTGGAGCAAAACTTGGCACTGTATGTTAGAGTTGAAGGATCTGCCACCTCTTTCACGTCCAAATCTACCACCACGATGACCTTTTCCACCTCTAAAAGGTTGATAATCCTGCACTTGGTTAGAATGACCCTACTGAGTAGAGGAAGAATCAATGACAGGTGCTGGAGATTCATCTGTTGTTGGTGACTGAGGCACAACATGAGTTAGGTTAAGAGAGACCAAATCTGGAATTGGCTGCTACTTGAATTTGTTTAGACCCAGCTCATGAGCCAATAGCAGAATCTCAACTTCATCAATGTCCATAACTCCAAATTTGCTTTCAACAACATACACAACTGGAGCAAATTCAGCAGGCAAGCCTTCAAGGATAACATCAATGTGATTAGATACTGGAATAGGATCACCAATGGAGGCTAGCGCATCAACAATGGTGCGAATCTTCAATAGATAGTCTTGAACAGAAATAGTGTCAAGTGTAAGAGTGCGCAATTCAACACGCAGACGGCGTGCCCTAGCACAAGTTTGTTTTTGAAAATAGCTAAAAAGACGATCCCTCAATTCATGAGAGTGAGAACAACCAAGCACACGTGAGAGAATCTCACTGGATAGTGTAGATTGAAGCCATGACAACAACATTTGATCCTTCTGAATCCAACTGGAGTATGCAGGATTGACGAAACCGGCGCGATGAGCGGCATCGTCGACGAATTTCGGTGAAATGAGAGCACAGACGACCAGATCTGTGAGATCACGAGCATTGATATACAGTTCTACCTGCTGACGCCAGAGATGGAAGTTCTTTTCATCCAACTTCTACGCGATCTTGAGCGAGAAGTGCAATCGGCGAGAATCACCCACCATCGACGACTGTACCGGCATCGATTCAGGCAAAACTCGAGCGGAAGAAAGAGGCGATCGCGGCAGAGAGATCACAGCAATTTGATACCATATTAGAAAGAAGAGAAGAGAAGAATAGTGTATTAATTTCTGTGGAACTTAATACTGTTATTTCTCAAAAGTTAGTTACAAAAGGTTCCTTGATGCTTTATCTATAGCATCAAGGGTAACCTGCTATTATAGATAAAACAGAACTGGTACTTACAGATGCCAGTCATATTTGATACAAATAGAAGCCTAGCTACTTATATATTCAATATCTTTTTACGCCACATCAGTCTTTACCTAAAATATAAAACAACTTATTGTTTTTATAGAGCATGCAATTTCTGTTTATATGTGGATAAGTATTTACATTTACACCGCAAACTTATTTAATGTTTAAATTGTCTTACAAATGGTCACATGTGGAATATGTTTCATAGAATTATGGAATATTTTTCACTAGATTTATTTTCTTCTTTTTCAAAGTTTCATTCTTTTATTGCAATTTATTCTTGGTTCGGCTGGCTGACAGAACTGTTGATTGTGTTTCAGGAGCAGCCTGATACTCCAACAAGTGACATTTCGGTAAGGTTTATGAAGAATATCTTTATATCTATCTTATGCATGAATGTACAGATCTTTTAATGTTGCTTTGCATGGTATATTTGACATATTAAAATCGTTATATGACTAATTGGTTGAGATAGAATAGAATGGAGTTTATGTTATTAAAGTTCTTCAGATTCTGAAGCACTCTGTTTAAGTTGCTCATCATATATGCTCGCGCCTTGCATGTTTTGATAAGTTAAACCACTGGTAGCATATTTGCTTTCTTGTTTAAACCCCTCCCAAAACTATTGTCAGGGCTAAGCTACGATAAATAAGCTTTTGAGCAAATATGGCTTGGGAATAAAATATGTGAATTTTTCTGACTTGTCCTACATTTTCACAGGAAGTATTTTGTCGTTTGCCTCTTCCTTTTGTTAATGAGGAATTCAAAATCGACTTCACTTGGAAAGACATGGACAATAAGATGGAGCCACCGCCATATATACACATAAGACGCAGTATCCATCATATACTAAGCACTATTTTAATAAAATTTAAATAAACATATCTATTTTTGAGGGAAGTTAAGGAATTTGATTTCCAAACATTGTAGAATCAATATTTTTCAAGTAAATTGTTGAGCTCGCTGTCATGTTGCTACTTGCTAGCCTAAACTAATAACAGATATATACCTAGTGAAGAAAAAGCGTAGTGATATAGATGATGGTGCTGGGTGCACCAACTGCATTTCTTCGTGCTCTGATGATTGTGTATGCAGGTACATGTGAATTATCTTCCATTTTTTATTTCTGTTAGACTTAGTCTTTCTTTTCAATTCTATTCTTGGCTTCCTAGCAAAATACTCATCAAGATTGAAGTAATGGCACCCATATACAGCATGCTTTTGTATATTGAATACCCCTACATTTGCCAAAAATATTGAATAGCAGAAGAACTCCTTAGAGAAAATGATGATTTTTACATATGCTCTTTGTTCATGTGAGCATGCTCTGATATAGCCTCAAATAGAAACAAAGTCCTCACTTTATTCCTAACTAGAGGGAGAGTTAGTTGTCATTGTCATTGTATTCCCTGCTGTTATATGCCTAATATCTATCTGCATATACCATTTATAATCATTGTCATTGTAGTTAGTTGTAAAAAAAAAGACACTTTTGGCAGTATTTAGTACCAAAGTATTATCTCATAAGTTGGTCTATTTTGTAATTGTAACTGTAATATTTCATAAGTCTGGCTATGTATTAAGTATTACATAATATTATGACTTATCAGGGTTCAATGCATAAGCTGCTCAAAGGCTTGTCGGTGCTCTGAAAATTGTAATAATCGGCCATTTCGCAAGGAGAAAAAAATCAGGATTGTCAAGGTGTGAAAATTTGTTGTAGTGACGAGATATTTGAAATATATTTTTTTAGGCATAGACTTCCTACAATGTCGCTATTTATTAACATTTTATGCTTGTTTATGGTTTGTACTCAGACTGAGTTTTGTGGATGGGGAGTTGAGGCTGCTGAAACAATTGAGAAAGGAGGGTTCATAGTTGAGTATATTGGAGAAGGTAGCTTATATTTTTGAATAGTTTACATTGTCAAAACATTGTTTGTATCCCCTTCTTTTAGCCATAATCTAATTCTAACATCTGATAACTTAGAATGCCATTTATCCAAGGATGTCCTGAAGGCATATGATCTTTTAACTATGTTGTTTCTCCATCTAACCAGAAATGTTTTCTGTTACAGTCATTGATGATGCTTCATGTGAACAAAGGCTTTGGGACATGAAATATAAGGGTGTGCAGAATTTTTACATGTGTGAGATTCGTAAAGACTTCACAATAGATGCAACTTTCAAAGGAAATTCATCACGTTTTTTAAACCATAGCTGTGATCCCAATTGTGTTTTGGAGAAGTGGTTAGTGTCAGAAACTCTGTTGTACTTGTTCTTGCTTTGCATTATGCTCTTACTTTTCAAGGATTATAGATATATAGTTTCCTAGAGCACCAAATTATTATTAAATTTCGGAATACAATTTAACCTGATATAGTGATTTGCAACATATGGTACACCAAAAGTGAAAGCAAAATACCTGACAACAACTTTTGGTATAAAAATACAACGATTTACAAATGCAGAAATTATATCAAATTTACCTTAAGTATTTAAAAGTAAATAAAAACTGGACATTTCTTAAGTATAGTGAATACAAAGGAAATCAACATTGGGCTGCAGGCCATTTATCCAACCAAGAGGAACAAGGAGAATTTGAAGATCCAGAAGAGGGAATTCTAACAATTGCATCGTGGTTGTAATATAGTGGGAGAACTGACTTGGGATGTTTTGCGTTTGATCGCAATTGTTGCGGTTAGCAAGAGTCGCCACTGACTTTTCTTTTATTCAAAAGGAAAGGTGGAAAAGAACAATAAAGACCTTTGAAATTATTTTCTTGAATTCGGGGGTAGATTATGAAAAGGGAAGATGTTAGCACCCTTTTCATCCATAGTTATCTACGGGTTCTTAGTTCCTTGCTAGATCATTTGCTTTGTTTGAAAATGTGCTTTGTGGTTGTTTTTTGAAAGTATTTTTGAAAATGCGCTTTCGTTTAGGCGAATTTTGTAATGATTTTCGTTTTGGCGAGAATGTATACAAAATGTTGGATTTTTGAAAATATTTCATGGAAAGTGTTGGTGTATTTGAAAAGATGTTTGTTTTTGAAAATGTTTGGTGTGTGTTTTGTTTTGAAAGTGAGCAAGCAACTAAGAACGTCTCTACCTACTCAAAAGTCTTTTGTTCATTTCTTCATTCCTTTGATATTGCCATCTCACTATTGATTGGTAAAAAGTCTTATTTTTGGATGTAAAGGAACGGGTGTGGGTCATCGTATAGTCATGATAGCAATGTTGTAAGATGTCTTAGCATTTCTCTTTGAGGACTAAGATCATTTGAAAGACAACATTTGTAGCGTCATAGATGGACTATGATCTTGTATTTCAATTGTTTTTGTTAAGACATCTCACATGCATAACATGACCATTTTTTAAGCAACAAGTGGAGTTAACCTTAAGGGTGGATGTGTGAATAGTGTGATTGATTTGCATGCATTTAATCTTTGATTAGGGTTATCTACTTGTTGATTTTTATCTTTCTATACAAACCCTAATTACTAGTATTTATATGAAAACGATAAATTGCGGAAAGTAAATTTACTACGCTATTACATCATTTGGAGATGAGGTATACAAATTTACAAATGAGGATTGCAAGAAATTAAACATAATTATCTATTACAATCATATTGAAACTTGAATAATGTACGAGAAATGAAAATATAATGTGCAAAGATATAAATGGAAAAGAAAATGGATTTTTGAGGAAAAAATTTGATTTTGACCTAATTAACTAAAAGAAGTAATTAATTAAGATAAATAAAATTAAACCTAAACTAATTAAAAAAAGAAATTAAGTTAGAAAATATTTTTTAGAAAATGTTTTAAGTTTAATCAAAATAGTATGGAAATTAATTAATTAAAAGAAATCTAAATTCTAAGTTAATTTTAATTAAAAAAAATTAACTAAACCTAAATCTAATTATTAATTTATTTAAGAAAATGACTAAATTTGTTTAAGAAAATAAATTTTTGTCTTTTTTAGTTTAGAAAAGGAAATAAAATAAAACTATAAGTATATTATAAATATAAATGAATAAACTATTTTTTTAGATTTTTATTAATAATAATAATAATAATAATAAAAATAATAAAGAAAAATAAAATAAAATATAAAAAAAAAAGTCAGGGGGTGAAAATGGCATTTAGCGTGTTTAGTAGTAAAAACATTTTTTTTTAGTCTGACCCATTAATGATTTTGTTTGGAAATCAGAAAAAGAATAAAATAAAATAAATGGGCTGTGCAGTGAGGTGGGGGTGTTGTGCAGCAAAAAAAATGGGAATGCCCGTTCAGGGAGGCCCAGACGCGCTGGCTTGTAGCAAAAAAAAGAAAGAAAATACTGAAAGCCAACGCGCCTTTTGGCTCTATAACTTGCTTTTGAAGAAAAGTGAGAAGACAAGTCTCCAAGTGTTGTACAAGCATGGTCTGAGTTGGTAGAGACCTTAGACATGTTGCTTTTGGTTTTGACTCTACTTGTGTGCAGAGAAAATAATTGAGAGGCTCAAGAAGTTGACAATTGCAAAAGTAATGCTTTATCAAAATGGAAATGACAACTTTGTGCCATAAATGGAAAATCATTTTGGACAAAGCTTCAAACACTTGGATAAGAGCCTAAACAGTTGTGTAAACCATTAATTATGGAGTAAAAAACAAGTTTGAGACCTGCAAAATGAGGATTATGCAACATGGCTATGGATTGGATCAAATGTTCATCATGAAAATGACTTGAAAAACAAGTTTGAAACCCTAACTTCTTGCCTTCGATTCTTTTAGCTCAAGTATGATCTCAATGAGTTCTTGGATATTTTAGAAAGCTTGTAACATCCCATACAACCTTCATGTTGGATATTTTTGAAAATTCAATTTGGAACTAGGTGAAAAGTTGTCATGAAGTTATGTTAAAATCCTGCCTAACTAGGGCAAAATTTCACTAAGTTTTTTTAGTTTCATGGACATGTCTCCAAACATTTCTAGAAAAAGTTTTGCTCTACAATGTTTTAGATCTCATTGAGATCTACATCTTTCATGTTGAAAGTTTTTCTTGAATCATCTTGTATCATGGTGAAAATTTGGCACAAAGTTATGAAAAATGTTAACTTTTTAACACTTAAAATTTTTTTTAAGTCTTAGAATTTTGACTTTTCAATTTCTTGATGAACAAGTTTCATATTTTGACATGTCTTGATGAAATATGATTTTTGAAACTTGATTTTGATTAAAAAGTCAAAGTTTGACTTTTCAGTGTACAGTTGACTTTTAATCAGTTGACTGAAATTTATCTGACAATCCAATGATCTTGAGAGGTGATTTGAAATATGCAATTAGGTTAAGATGGTGCATTTGAATCCTTGAGATCATGCCTTAAACCAATAAGTCATCTTCTTGGTCAAAAGTAAAAAATTGAGTCTTCTCAATCAAAACTCTAATTTTGACCATTTTCCCCTTTTGGTGTTCTAATCAATTTTTTTTAAGGAATTGTGACCCAACTTGATCAATTGACATATATGAGTTCATAATGTTGATATGGATCAAGAATTATGAAGTTTGACTGTAGGTTGACCATAGTTGACTTTTTATCCAATACAGCTGATTTTAGGTCATCTGATCAAATGACTAAGCAATTTTGTGATTCAAGACTTGAAACTTGACATGAGCAATCTTGAGGGTTCCTAATGATCAATTAAAGTCATTTGAGGTCTTGAAAGTCCAATTGTCCTTGTGAAAATTCAAACCTTAATTTGAGTCATCAGTACTTGAGGAGATGTCTTGAACTGATCAAAACTTGTGTAGTCTTGAATCAATAGAGATCTTATAAGAGATTTCTTGAGAAATGAGAGGACAAATTTTGGGGTACAACAGTGGTCATCATATTTTAAGCATTAGATTTATCTGACCCAAATCCCATTTCTTAGGGCACTTTGGTAGGAAAAACCCAATGCTTAAAATATCATGACCACAATGCAATTGTAAGAATTCCTTCTTCTAATGGGTACACTACTATTTGTTTAGAGAATTTATCCTAGATTTCATCTTCACTACAAAGCAGTTTCATTTCAATTAATATTTTGGATAGATTCTATTATGCTACAAACAATATGACAGCCGAAACTCAAGATCCAATTACTAAACAGGGCCAAAATTAAGAAGAGAGGTTGACAGTCTCAAAGGAAGTAGAGGCGTCGCAGACAGCCTCCTCAAAGGCATCATGTGTATTTTATGAGCAAAAAAAATCTCCTACTGTGTGTTACTACTTGCAAGAGCGCGTGATGACAGTGACAACGATGACACTTCGTAGGTTTTTAGATCAGCACTGTCTTAGTCTAACACTGGGGCGTGTATTTATGCGAATGGCCCTGTCGATAAGAAAAATGTGCTGTCTTTCTTTAGTATTGATTTGGTCAATTGCTGACTACACAATGGGTCAACGCGTAATGGTTGCTAAAGCACTAGATAAGATGATTTGAAACAAAAAAGAAAAACAGTCTGGTTCTAAAAATGAATTTTGATTACAATTGTTCTCACATTCCTAAACATTCAGGAGGATCTGTGACAGGTCAGAGGATGGTAATGCTCTGATTACATGTTGAAAGTATGAGCTTTAAAGAAAGGGAAAGAGAAAAAGTACCATAATATCAATATATTCAAAGATACTTTCTTATGTTCATTCATATAGTTTATATTGTAAGTCCATGCTTTCTCTATTGGTGTATTATTTCGTAATCTAATTAAACAAGTAACGTCATTGATTAGTATGCATTCTTTCCTTAATGATATATTCTCTACAGTTGATTGATTCAAGTTGTATAACTAGATTAAGCGGACTTATCTGCTTGATATTGCCAAATCAAACTCTACATTTTTGCTATAATCTTATGGTTTCTTCTAGGCAAGTAGATGGTGAAACTCGCGTTGGTGTATTTGCTGCTCGTTCGATAGAAGTTGGAGAGCCATTAACATATGATTATAGGTAAGTTTGATCCTACCTCATTTTTTGCTTGGTGTGTAGAAATTTTTAATAGCTCAATCATGATTTCTTAACTTTGCAAAAATATAGTGGGGTGTTCTCCTTAACATTTAGAATAAAAATTATTTATACATTGTTTTTATGTGGTTGTCAAAATACAAATGAAGGATAATTGTGATTTGATTGGATGCACGTCTAAAATAGTTTTAAGTTGTCATTGTATACAAATTAAACCAATAGAATATTTTTTTATTCAAAGATTACAAGGATAATAAATGTCAAATGCAAGTGAATGATTCCATCATTGTTACACAGTTGAGCTATGACATTTATATCCCGAATCATTAAATAAATACAAGTGTTATGCTACCATATTTATAATATTTACATCATTACCAAGTTTGTTACATATAAAGTTTATACAAGGGCTCCTCATGAGCTTGGTGAAAAGATCCGCCAATTCATTATTTGAACCAACAAGGCTAGTGTTCATGTCCCTTGATAAAATATTAACCAATAGAATGACAATCTAAATCAATATGATTAGTTTTCTCATGAAATACTAGATTTGAGGGGCAATGTACAAATCAACTGGATTAAGACAAATGAGTGTCATCTATATAACCTATCAGAATCCAAGCTCCTGAGGGGCAATGTATAACTAAATATGAGTAGCTGATGCAGTGGCTTGGAATTATGTTTCAGCACTAGGCTTTGCTATGACATTCAACTTCTTACCTCTCTAGAAGATAGGTTTGCCCAATCAACATTTGAGTTTCCTGCAACTTGAGTATGACCCTTGTTTTCCTAAATAAGAACTTTCCCAAAGCTTCTTGAATATACTTTATAATATGAACTATCACATCCCAACGTCCTTCATATGGTCAGTTAAGAAATTGACTTACCATACTTACAACAAAGGAGACATCTAGAGTAGTTGCAACGAGATAATTTAGTTTGTCCACCAACCTTTGGTATCATCCATGGATCTAAGAGTTGCTCCTTCTGATTCGGTAGATGCTGGCATTAAGATCCATTGAAGTGTTTGCTTAGCATTTATTTAACTTATTTCTTACATAATGTCCATAGCATACTTCCTCTAAGGAATTACATTACAATCCTTGGATTGTGCCCCCTCTACTTCTAAGCAGTATCGAATGATAGAAATGTAGAAACAATAGATAAGAGCAGAAGAGAGGGAGAAAGTTTGTTACAACTGATTTTGTATTATTGAAAGTTAGTTACATTCACTGTTATGACAGTATTTATAGTTGTGCCATAACTGTGCTCACTAAGCACAATTAGTTACAATGTGCAGTCTCTCCTAACTATTCTTACTGCACTCTTACTTGTACTACTCTAATATCTTCTCCTCAAGACCAAAGTCCTCCTTATAGAAGAGAGGCTTTGTCATGAACTTGTAACTTGACTCTTAGTTGCAAATACCTTTGAGGAGAATGTGGTTTTGTAAGTAGGTCTGTGTTGGAAATAGAAAAAATACATTGTATGTTTCCCACTAAAATGAGCATTTAAGTCTTAGGTTCATGTATATTTAGATTCATGCATTTAGGAAGTTGGACTGTTATTTATTTCTCCTTGTAAATATAATATGTAATTAATTATATAGTGTTTATAAGTATCATGGTTGTTGGGTGCTTTACTCACTCAAGCACATTCAGAAAATTCTAATTTCTATTTTTCACAGTCTGCATACTGATCAAAGGAGAGTTTTACTTAGGACCTTTTCCCTTAAGAAAAAGGTATCCAACTCCATATGTTTTGTCTTAGCATGCAAGATCGAGTTGTGTGACAATGCAATTGTGCTCAAATTGTCACAGAATATCACAAGAGTGGTGAAGGGAATTCTGAGATTAGTCAACAGAGATTGGATCCACAAGATTTCTGAGGCTGAGTTGGCAAGACTTATATACTCAGCTTTAGTACTAGATCTTGCCACTAGAGTCTGTTTTTTGGACCACTAAGATACAAGATTAGGGCCAATCTCCTGTCATCAGAGGATCAAATCCCCAATCTGCATCAGAAAACCTCTTTATGGAGATAGGAGACTGAGTAGATGTAGGTTGGAGTAGGAGACCATGATGAAGGGTACCTCTTAAGTACCTTTAAATTCTCTTTATAGCTGTCCAGCGGATTGGAGAGAAACTGTCCAACTTTATTCATAACAAAGCTTATTTCAGGTCTTGTTAATGTGGCATATTGAAGCGCCCCAACAATAGACCTATAAAATGTAGGTTTTCCCAAAAGATCAGTCCCATACTTGGATAATTTCAAGCTAGAAATTATAGGTGTAGGCAACCCTTTAAATTTTGACATGTTAGCCTTTGAGAGCAAATCCTTAATATACTTTGCTTGAGATAGAAAGAGAGAGTCATCTTTGTGATGAGTCACTTCAATGTCCTGAAAGTACTCAAGTTTTCCAAGTTGCTTAAGAGTAAACTGAGAATGCAACTTTTGAATAAGTTGTTGAATGTGAGTTTGGGAATTAAAGTAACAAACAATATGTATTTCTTTGATCTTTCAGTAAGTAATACATGAAAGGTATTTATAGAATACAAGGGACATATCACTTTAAATGTTAATTCTAAATATGATAGAAGACAACTAATTACTAATTATTATTTACAATGAATATTATGCTGAGTTGTATAACACAGAATGTGTTGATTCTGTACTTATCTCTCTAATAACTTCCAACAGAAATTCCCAGTTACAATAATGTCATCTACATACACTAGCATAAAGATAGTATAGGTCGGAGTTATTAAAATAAACAGGGAGGGATCACACCTGCTAGAAAACAAAGCCAAACTCTTTAAGTGCAAGGTGCTTGCTCTCAATGCTAAGAGGTTCTTCCATGTATACTTCCTCTTGTAGAATGCCATTGAGGAAGACATTGTTAACATCAAGCTGAGTAATGTGCCAACCCATGGAAATAGCAATGGTCAAAATGATCCTGACTGTGACCAATTTTACAACTGAAAGTTGAACTTCTGAGCTGAATATGGCCTTAGGTGTGGAAAGCAGGCACATCTAAAGGCCTTAAGGGATTTATACTAAGGAACAAGATTATAAAGCATGAAGGGGACTTCATGCTTAATAGAGGGGTAGGCATTTTGCTAATCAGATAGGCTGCAGTTAGGTAGGCATGATCCCAGAATTTCAAAGGTAAATTTGCTTGGGCAAGCAAAGTTAAACCTATTTCAACATGTTGATGCTTTCTTTCAACTGGGCCATTTTGGTGGTGTGTGCGGGCAAGCTAACCTATGAACAATGCCTTTTGAGTGAAACTGAGAAGTGATATATTTGAACTCTCCTCCACCATCAGTCTGGACTGCCTTAAGTCTAGTAGAGAATTGCACTTCAATGGTTGTGATAAAGTGTGTGAGAATGAGCAGCACATCAAATTTTAGTTTTGTAGGAAACACCCAAGTATATTTAGTAAATGCATCAACACACGTTAAGAGATATTTATAACCACATGTGGAAGTCATAGGGGCAGGACCCCCTACATTAAAAAAGAGTAAATCAAAGGGCTTAGTGTAAATGGTGTGTGATAGTGTACTAGGTCTATGAATCTTCCTCAAGCAACAACGTGTACAAAAATCAAGCAAGGGCTTTTGAGGAATGTCAATGTTACACAGCTGCAAGATAGACTTCAAAGCCTCATGATGTGGGTGTCTAAGCCCTGTTGTGCCATAGAGAGTAGGAAGAAGGACCAAGAGCTTGAGGAGATGCTGAGACCTCTGACACATTATTGATGGATGCAAGGGAATTGGAAACTGGTTGTAGAGACCCAAAGATGTACAAACCATCCTTATTTAGTGGGCCTTGAAGCACTATTTTAGAATTACCCTTTCCTTTAACAAAGCATCTGTCAGCATGGAACTCAAAGAAAACCTTGTTGTCTTTGGCAAATTGGATCACAAATATCAAGTTCTTTGTGATGTGAGGTACAAGTAAAAGATTCTTGAGTGTGAGATATGTGTGTGCAGTGCAAGGTGAAGAGAAGCAAGCAGTGCCGATGGATGTGATAGACAAACCTTAACCGTTGCCAAGGAGTACTTGGTCAGTGCCAGGGAGAGCCACACTTTCAGAGAGATAATCAGCATTGTTTGTGACATGATGAGTAGCATCTGAGTCAGGGTACCAAGTTTAAGCTTGTTGAGAGAAATCAATGTTTGCCACAAAACCAGTTCTAGTAAAATGTGCTTGTGGTTGATACACATGCCTTTTAGCAAAGCCAGGTGGAGGACCTCTGAGAGCAGGAGATAGCCATTGATTCTGAGCTGGAGTTGGAAGAAGTCGAGTATTAATCCACTGGTTTTGACCACCTGTTGCCAATTACTGAGATGTGTTAGGATTAGTCCACTGATTCCAGTTAGGTCTTTTGATGCTGAGGAGCAAAATTTCACATGGAAGGCATCATAGTGGAATGTCTATGATAGCAGATGCTAGCATCACATCCAAATTTGAAACATATTTGACATCGAACTTTGTATCTTCCACCATTTCTGCCACCTCTGCCACGATTGTTCCTTCCACCACGACCTTCACTGAAGGAGGACATCAGTAAACTGCATCATATTGGCGGAACCAGGAGTGACTTAAAGTGTAGATTGAGGAACAACGAGGGTGTAGCTCGAGCTACATTGACAGAGAGAGGCTCAGATAATACACTTTTCTTGAACTTTTCCAATTTAGCTTCATGAGCTAGAAGCATAGACTTAGCTTCAATGATTGGACACAAAGTAGCACGATATTGAATGATAGATGCTAGGACATTGTATTCATTTGGCAATCCATCAATAATTGCCTCAAGTTGATCATGATGCGAAATCGGATCATCAATATACTCCAGAATATTAACAGTTCGTTTAACACGAGCGAGATAATTAGTAATGGATTTTCCACCTCTAACTTAGAGGTGAAAGTAGGAGACCATATTATCCCTCAAGTCACACGGTTTAAATATCTTGGGTCCGTACTACAAAATGATGGAGAAATAGAAGGGGATGTAAATCATCGTATTCAAGCTGGATGGATGAAATGGAGAAATGCATTAGTTGTTTTATGTGATGCAAAGGTACCGCTCAAGTTAAAGGGAAAGTTTTATCGAACTGCGGTAAGATCTGCGATTTTGTACGGAACAAAATGTTGGATGATTAAGAACCAACACGAGAATAAAGTAGGTGTAGCGGAGATGAGGATGCTGCGGTGGATGTGTGGTAAGACTCAACAAGAAAAAATTAGAAATGAAATTATTAGAGTGTTGGAGTAGCGTCTATTGTAGAGAAGATGGTGGAAAATAGACTTAGGTGGTTTGGGCATGTAGAGAGAAGACCTGTAGACTCTGTAGTAAGGAGAGTAGACCAGATGGAGAGAAGACAAACAATTCAAGGAAGAGGAAGACCCAAAAAGACTATAAGAGAAGTTATCAAGAAGGATCTCGAAATTAATGATTTGGATTGAAGCATGGCCTTTGATAGAACATTATGGCGAAAGTTGATCCATGTAGCCGACCCCACCTAGTAGGATAAGGCGTAGTTATTGTGGTGATAAATTTGAGTTCAGATCGTGAATTTCATCCCAGATTTGATGAGAATGGACGCACCTCATGACGCGAGGAAAATTGCGTATGAGAGTGTGGTGAGAAGCCACGTGAAAAGTAAGGAGTCTTGTTGCCCCCACATCAGAAACGCCGGATTCTCCGTATCATTGTTGCGATCTTCATCGGAAAGGTATCGTGGCGGAATAACATGATTAACAGGGAGGGAGGGAGGGAGGGAGTTTGTTACAACTGATTTTGTATTACTGAAAGTTAGTTACATTCTCTGTTATGACAGAGTATTTATAGTTGTGCTCACTAAGCACAACTATGCTCACTAAGCACAGTTAGTTACAATGTGCAGTCTCTCCTATCTAATCTTACTGCACTCTTACTAAGCACAGTTAGTTACAATGTGCAGTCTCTCCTATCTAATCTTACTGCACTCTTACTTGTACTACTCTAATATGGAAGCCTGTCAAAATCTTGTTAGAAAATGGGAGGCAAAGAAGTATTTATCCATGCAATGCCATGATATTCACTCCTTGTAATGACAATGTTGTCACATACACAACAAAGCATAATTAATTTGTTCTGCAGGGTAAAAGGCGTCCCCGTAATCTAAACCAAATACCTGTGTCATTTAGCAAGTATTCTGTGTGATAAGGTTGCCCATTAGGTCCATCAGAGCCAGCTTTAAGTTTAAAGACCCTTTGACATCCAATAACCACCTTCCCTAGTGGAAGAGCAACAAAGCCACATATTCCACAGCCCTAAAGTGCTCATATTTGGTGGAGGTGGAGACTTAGGTGCTGTGTGTAAATGAGGCTGTGACAATGATAGACTGAAAGGGATGAGGATGAGCAGAAGAATTATCTCAACCATGGGGCATCACTAGATCAATGTATTTAAGTAAGACAAGAAATAGGTAAAGTGTCTTGGATAGATTCAGGTGTAGAGATGGCCATGGAAAGGTGTAGACTCTAAGTGGGTAAAGTGACATCAGTTTAGAACGAGGCCAATTTGACCCAGTTATCAGAATTATAGTATTTAGGACAAGCCGACATATGGCCTGTGGCACTAAAACCTAACAAACATCCAATTTGTAGGAAGACTTACCTAAATATCCGAGTACAAGTATCTGATGGTTGTTTTGGTTAAGAAAAATTCATTTTTTATTTCGTACACAAACAAAACTCATATATCTTACATTGAACTTTTAGAGTTGTTGCCCTTGAAGAATCCAAATGGAGAAATTATTATATGCTCAATTTATCCCATGGATATATTGGGATCCATCCAACCAATATGAATCACATGCATTCAATGATAGTCATTTTCCTCTAGATCTTTTTTTGCTCACTAGTATACAGAATATCTACTGCATTACATTGCAAGAAGTGTAAATGATTGATACATATTATGTTTCTGTTACCAAGTTTGTTGAGTACTTTTTGGGAATATGTAACAAAGGCCTCATATTAAATCCGATAATAAATACTAGTTATTCTCACTGGAAGAAAACTTGTGAATCACCAAATTTATGATGTATGATTTGCTTGTTGGTAACTTCTGATGATAGAAATTGTTTCTTTTTTGGCTTTTGTAGATTTGTGCAATTTGGTCCAGAGGTGAAGTGCCACTGCGGTGCCCAGAAATGTCAAGGATTTCTAGGCTCAAAAAAGAAAATTAGCAAAGTAAACCTGTGTTGGGGGGCAAAACGTAAGCGAACTTTATGCACATCGGCAGTAAAAGTTGCTGATTTGCCAAAACATTATATGTAGTTGTCACAGCTGTATGTAGGCAAAGTGAAAAGGAAATAATCGTAATAGAATAAATACCTCACATTCTTACTCAGTTGTACCATAAAAAAGGTGGCATTTTCTTCATTAAAGATTGTGACAATATTGTCACGTAGAATTTCATCCTTGTCAAACAAGACAAGAAAATGTGTAAATTGATATTGCTGAGTTACTGCATATATATTACAGTTTTTAATAATGACAAATATAAAAAAAATTATTTGAAAGTTTAAAAATCGAAATTTCCGATACGCTAAACAAATTTTCAGTGCTGATTTTAGTTACTTACCGAAAATTCTGTACTTTCTACAAATTTTCGATTGCGATTAACTGAAAATTTCAAAATTTTTGCATGTGATTCATCGGAAAATTTAAAGTTTGTGTCAATTTTCAAAGGCCAGCACTAGGGGTGTTCAGATCCAATCCAAAGAAAAAGCGTAAACCAAACCGAAAAAATCGAAATCTAAATAAAACCGGTTTTTCTTAAGATACTGTTTTGAATCTCTCTTCTCAATTCTTCATCTCAATTTATTCCACAGTCTTATGCCCTTATTTATTATTGGTTCAATGATGAATAAAATCATTCATCTTATGGTAAACTAGGGTTAGCGCAGTAGTTCATATCTCCAACTCTTCAAAGAGATTCTCAATCGCCACCCTTAAAATCATGCTTTCAATCTTCCAAATTAATTTCACGATAAATGACATTGATTGTAGCCGTTTCAACCCACCGATTTCGCTCCTTGTAATTCTCAATTTAAGATACTGTTTTGAATCTCTCTTCTCAATTCTTCATCTCAATTTTCGGTTCTCACTAGCAGCAACTCACCTCAATTTCTTTTCTAGTTTCGAATCTCGGTCTGATAGGCTGATATCAGTAGTAAGTAAGTTGTTTGATTCATCTCAATATCTTCACGGATCACTATTTTTGTTTGTAAAGTTTGTTTTAGATTTTCATATACCAGTAATGACACTATGACAGTAACAATAAGTAAGATGCTAAGATTGTTACACGCCTTCACCTCAATTCTCAATATGTTCTAATTTTTAATTTGTTTGATTTTTAAACGAATACGCACAGATGCATCCTCTGATCCAGTTGCTTCATCTACTCAATCCGATATTATTAGCAACCATATTCAGGTATCAAAACTTAATTTTAAGTGGTTTACTTTAACATTAGGAAATGTTGATTAATGTTACAATGGTACAACAATGTTATAAAAAAATTCCCAGACGGATACACTGAATTAATCAAAAAATTTATAGCATTATATTGAGTTTTTATATGTGAAAGAAATTTTCCAGCTTAAAACAGAATGATGGTGCCTAAATTTTTAGATGTGAAAAAATTCTCATGTGAAACAGCCGAACCTCCACCTTCATTAGTTTGCATATATTCACAAATAGTATTGCCACCATATTTCACAAGTAGAAGAAAGTATATGATGAGAAACTTTGTCTTGTGGTTGATGTGTAAATTGACTGTAATATATATTGTAGTGATGTTAATAAATGAAAATGTTCAAACTGTGAAGGGTCTGTGAATTAATAAGTTTAGCTCCATGTTTTGTTTGGTCAAGTTATCAGTTAATTCAGTTATGGCGAGGTATTACCTATGTTGATTGTGTAATTTATTTTGAAAATACTGCTTATTTAATGGGGTAACACTCTTTTCTCTTACACACACAAAAGTTGTTAATGAGGCGCCTCATGTTTCTTTATAAATTTTGGTAGACATTTATCCTAATTTTGATAGATGTAATGACCAGAGGTTGGAGCTTTAATAAAGTCACTGAAGTGGAAATAATTTATGTTGGATCCTACATTGCAGGGTGAAAAAACCGAACCTCCACCTACATTGGAACAAACTAATGAAGTGAATAATGATGAAGAAAATGCTAATAAGAAAATGAAAGTTGGAGAAGCTTCAACACGGAAAACATCCAATGATCCTAATGTTGCAGTTCGAGATTCAGGTAATAGAAAACCTATTAAACATAGATCTTGGACTTCAGAATATTTTACAAAAATAGGATCAAGAGCTAAGTGTAATTGGTGTGATGTAACATATACTGCTGATTCACAAAGAAATGGCACTAGTAATTTGAAACACCATCTGTTGAACCGATGTAAGAAGTTTACAAAAGAGTCTATTGATCCCACTCAACACTCTTGTTCTTCAACAACTAAAAAAAGAAGAAGGAAATGGATTTGGTAGTGTTCTCACTAGTGTCCATTTTGATGCTGAGGCATGTAGGAAAACATTAGCTAGGATGATTATTGCTGATGAGTTAGCTTTTAAGTTTGTAAAGGGAGAGGGGTTTCTTCATTTTATGAGTGTCGTTCAACCTAAACTCTCGATTCCTAAAAGGATTACAGTTGCAAGAGATTGTTGGAATTTGTACGCGAGAGAGAAACAAAAGTTAAAAAGTGTATTAAATAAATGAAATCAATGTGTCTGTCTTACAACTGATTGTTGGACATCAGTACAAAATTTAACTTATATCTGTCTCACTGCCCATTTCATTGATCATGATTGAAAAATCCATAAAAGGATTATGAATTTTTGTCCAATTGTGAATCACAAAGGAGTAACCATCAACAAAAAAATTGAAAAATGTTTGGAGGAATGGCTAATAGGTAATTGTTCTGGACTGGGCCCACCCTGGCCCAAAGCGCAGATAAAGGCCCAATCCAAGCAAAACTCCTCAAGGAATGCGCGCCCGTGGATCACCGCCTACGTGCCCGACTATAGACTGTAGCCATGCCTGCCATTGCCCGCGACACATGGTATCCCCGACCAAAGGAACTCCAGCTCGAGTCCTGCTCGAGCTCTCTCCCCGTAGGGCAGAATCTGTCCTCTCTGACCGTTATCGAATCATCTAAACTCCGGAAAGACTGCGTCTTCGTCCCTCCTCATTCTTCGCAGAGCATCACCAGGAAGGGGACCACGTGTGGGGCCCCACTACACACGTAGAACCTGGCAGTTCCTTTATTGGGTCAGTTCTGGTCGGCCCAATGGGGAACCTTGGCCCAGCGCTGGGGGCTATAAATACCCTCTGTTCCTAGAGGGTCAGGTATTCATCTCTCACTCATCTATACACTTTTTGCCTGCTCATTCCGTCACTCATTTTAGCATCGGAGTGTCTTGCAGGTACCCCCCCCCCCCCCATCTCACTCAAATTCTGCCCGAGCTAGTCGTGACGGTCCAAGTCTGATCAGGTACGATCAGTGGCGCCGTTTGTGGGAAACTAGCTTCCCCGTCTTGCAAACTCTCGAAGACCAAAGCTCAAATCACCTCCCACCGTCATGGCTGACCAAGTTCGAGACGACCAGAACGTCCGCGTCGTCGATGTCAACAACTACCTCGCGGATAAAAATGGAATTCCCGAGAACGCCGGCAATCCCGGCCATAGCACACTCCCCGGGGGCACCATCCCCGGGTCCTCGATCCACCGTGACGGAGCTACTGCCTCATCTTCTTCAGTCCCTCCGCCACTCGAAGAAGACAACACGACTCCCCCAAACTATCCAACTGCCCAATTTCAGGAAGTCCCTGTCCCCACCGGGGCAGATGCCACGATCCGCGCACTATTTGCGACGATCAATCAAACCAACTACCTCATCTTTGCCCAGGGGGAAAGATTGAGGGCGCTGGAAGACGATAGAAGACCCGCAAGGAGACACAGGAGGCCTCAGACCCCACCTCCTCGAATAACAGAGGTACATCTCCCGTCTCCCCCGCGGAGACAATACAAAGACACCTCCCGAAGCCCGTCGCCCTGACCTTCGGGGAGACGACCCCCCTTGGAGAGGCAAGAAAGAAGACACTCCGGAGACAGGCACGGGAGAATGGACCAACGAGCATCCCGCTTGAGGGGCACCCAGCACGACCAGGACCGTCGGGCCCGACAATATCTCAGGTCCCCATCCCTGTCCTCGGAGCGAAGTGACGAGGACGACCCCCGCGGTCCCCTTTCACAAGCCATCATGGAGGCGCCCATTCCCCCAGGCATGGAGAAGCCTCCACATCTGAAAGAATACGACGGAGTCGCGGACCCAGTCGACCACATAGACGGGTTCGAGGCCATGCTGCATTACCATAATGTCGGGGGACCCATCAAATGTCGGTTGTTCCCCACGACCCTCAGAAAGACAGCAATGGATTGGTATAAAGGCCTCACCCCGGGATCAATCACCTCGTGGCAAAACCTGAAGAATCAATTCATAAGTTCGTTCACCGCATCTCGGCGACATCCAAAGACCGAGGCAGCACTCGAGGCCATCATCCAGAGACAGGATAAAACCTTGAGAGAATTTATCAATCGCTTCAATCGCGAAGCCATTCAGGTCCCCTGCGTGGACCACACGAAAAGGTACTTGCTGGAGAGGGGGCTCCTCCCCGGCACAAAATTCAGAAAGGCGGTGGGCATCGAACCACCCCGAACATTCAATGCCCTCCTCGAGAAGGCCCGGGCATATATGGATTACGAGGAAAGGGAAGCGGCCAACAGAGCTCGGGACCCCAGAACTCGCGGATCCAGCAGCAACCCGCGCCAAGAGACCGCTCCTCCTCGACGAACCGGGGAGAAAAGAGGACAGACCCCGAGAAGTCCGAGAACAGAGAGGACCCTCGGGGTGTTTCACAGAATACACTCTGCTCACAGCTTCCCGCGAGCGCATCTTGGCAGAGTGTGCCAGCACGGATTTCAAAGATGGCGGTGTCAAGCGCCCTCGACCTGCTCCTGCCAAGCCCAGAGTAGACAAGAAAAAATACTGTCAGTACCATATGAGCCATGGCCATCTGACTGAAGACTGCGTCAACCTCAAGGACGCCATCGAAACCCTCATCAATGGAGGGAGGCTCGCCCAATACCGGCGAAACGACGCTCCTCGTCGCGACGCCCGGGAGACGAGAGAACCGGAGGAGGACGCCCGACCATCTGACGAATCGGTCCCCATCCAGACCTCCTTCTCTG